GGAATCAAACGTTTTTTGCTTAAACTATTTATTTTTTGAAAAAACTAATTAATGAGTGATAAAGTACTATAAAAATGTGATGATTCAACAAGAATAAAATTTTTCGAAATTTCCTTTTGTTTTTGAGTTCTACAAAAAAAAATTATTTTTTTCAATGGCAACCCACTATAAAATCATTTTTCTCATAAAAGCTGTACTCTAGAGATTACAACTATCTGCTTTATATTTAATTTTTTCAAAAAAAAATGTTTTCACATAAATTGCAATTTTGACAAAAAAAATCGCATAACTCAAAAATAAAACAAAATTTCGTTCTGAAATTACGATCACATTTTTTATATTACTTTAATGTATATTAATTATTATTTTCTGGAAGCAAATGATTAAAAATAAAGCCGCTTGATTCCATACTTTATATTCACCCTGTATATTATTTAACAAGTATCACTAATGAAAGAGTTTTCTAAGCACTAAGTAAGAAAAAAAAATACAAAATAATTCGTAAATCAACTTAGTGTCGACTAATAACATTTTTTTTGTTTTTAAACAAGCTCATATTACCATTGTAACCTCTAGTGACACAAAGTGTTGTAAAAAACGTTTTAATTCTTCAATAAAATAAAATTAAAATTAAAAACAAAAATAAAATTTCATCTATTTTTTTTTTTCATTTATTTCACAGTCCACAAAACTCTTATTAATTAACGCGTGTTTATTTAGATTCGGCGTCATAGTAGGCGGTGATATGAGTGTGTTGTGAACGAACCAAAATTTTTAATACACCCGGCGAAGTGTCAAATGTCAAATTAATAACTTTCATAGGATGGTTCGTTCACAATCGAACTTTCATGGATAGCTTTGACACCAAATTAAAAAAAAAACACCTATTATAATTTATCTACACATTTTAAGTGAAATAGTTTTTCCATGGCCAACTACTATCAAACAAAGTATGTATTTCATAATTATAAAAAGTATTGTTACAAATATATATTTTTTAGATAAAAAATGAGCTTTTCAAAATTGTCATAGCCATCTATGAGTTCTATTTAAAACACTACAAGTTTATCATATTACTGATAAACAAATAACTGAAAAAAATTATTACCTACATTATTAAATTCCTCGTAAAAAAGTGGCTGTATAATGTCTTTGTTTCAAATCTGTATCTTCTATAATAACAAAGATATGAATTTTTTTAGATTTCGCTAAAATGTCAATTTTTGTCTATAAGTCGAAAACAAAAGACGAAAGCGGGATGCGGTTTTAACCAATATTATTTTCTCAAAAAATGAGCTCCATTTTTGGCTAAACCTCTTAGTTTCCGAGATTCCCTATTTAGACATCCAAAATGAAACACCCTGTACATTTGAAGTTTTAGAGATTTTGATTTGATTTGAATCATGTTCCCCAAATCACTCTGTGTTTGTTAAATAAATTAACTTTTTGGCTAATTTTTCGTAAAATACTTCTTTTTGTTTCCTCTTCATACAGCCAAAACTAAAAATATAGCGTTTTCCAGAAAGAAATTATAAAAAAACTTAGATTTCCGTTCAAATGGAATCAAGTAATAATCGGGGATAGAATTAGGACTTTTCCAGATTCCAAATAGATTCCAACTGTTTATCGTTTAATTGGAAACAATTCACTTTGTAAATGTTTTCAAAAAACAAAATAAATTACCTATTTGTTAGCTTTCAAACTTCACAATGTGACGTATGATGTCTACCTTGAAAATTTCCTTTAATTATTAGATTTTCTTCAGATTTTAGATAAATATTGCGTCAGCTGTCCAAAATGTATACCACTAACTTTTGTAAATTAAAGAAAAAAAAACAAAAAAAAACAGAGAAAAGAAAAATAAAAGAAGGTAAAAGTGTGTAGTGCATGATTAAAAGACACAAAAAGACTGACAAATAAGAAGATAAGAATTCTTTTAATTATGCTTTAATGACTTTATAAACCTTGAATAAAAGAAAATATATAGAGTGAGTCTATAAAAATGTTTTATTTTTTATTTCTTTCAATTTAAAATACTGTTAAACAAAATTGTATACAATACTGTATAATTAAACTATGTTTATCTAAAATGTCAAGGCATTTTAACAATAAGACTTCTCCCTCTACAATGAGCTTTTAGTCCGATTTAAATCACCCTGTATTTGTCTAAAATAATCGAATTAGCACAAATTTTATGTAAGTAGGTGGCAATATCGTTTTAAAAATTATGTATCACTTAATTGCAAGCATATAAACATAATTTTGCCTAATTTTCCGCAAAATGTTTCTGCAAATACTCCTCCTTGTTTCCTCCACTTACGGCCAAAGCTCACAAAAAAACGTTTGTTTAAATTTAGCCGATTATGCGTTTTCACAATTGAGTACTAATTGCTGGCACAATCCCGATGTCGGTTCGACTCCAGTGAGTGTTTTAATAGAGTTTCAAGTGAAAAATAACATTTTCCAGAGCGAAATTATAAAAAGACATGGATTTCCGTTCGAATCGCATCAAGTAATAACCGAAGATGGATACAAATTAGGACTTTTCCGGATTAAAAATAGCGGACGTCCGGTATTTCTCCAACACGGTATCGCCTGTACTTGTTTATCGTTTTTGTCAATTGGAAACAATTCACTTGGTAAATATTTTGAAAAATCAAAATAAGTTATTTGTTAGCTTTCAAACTCCACAATGCGGGGTATGATGTCTGGCTTGGAAACTTCCGTGGGACTATTTATTCAAATAAACACAATAATTCGAAAATATCGGAGGAGAATTATTGGGACTTTAGGTACAAACAAATAATTTCTCAAATCGTGTTTAAACACAAATCCTAGTTTCTACGAAATGGGAATTTACGACGTGACAGCAATGATCGAATTCGTGTCTAAAACAGTGGAAAATAAACAGAAAATTATTTATATTGGACACTCGATGGGTACAACAGCCTCATTCGTGTATGCAATCACACGAAAAAATCACTCTGAAAGGAATTTAGACGCTTTGATTTCGCTAGCACCAGTTGTGTACCTGAAACACGCCTATTTCCCAATCTCCAATTTTGTGTCTTTGGCCCAACCAATTCAGGTGATTTTTAAGTGTTAAAATAAGCACTGAATTGAGATTTCAGGCAATTGCCAGTTTTTTTCATATCCACAATCTCGGAATGTCAAATGCTGAAAAAGTTACAAGTCGGTTCAATACATGTTTGAACTCTTTCCAGAAATTGAGATGCGAAATAATGACTGAAATAATGATGGCTTTGAATTTAGATTCACTCCCTGCGGTAGTATTACACCCAGGGGCGGATCCAGGAATTAATTTTGGGGGGGGGGCTATCTAAAATTTTTTTAGAATGATGAGAGTATACAGAGAGCGGCAAAATTATAGAATAATCTTCTTTATTAAAACTGAAAATATTTTGTTTTGAAAAAATGCTCGAACAGGTCATTTTTTTTTTAAATACAAAATTTTTAACTTGATTTAAAATTCTATCTTTGTTTTTTATTGATATTATTTCACTTTTTGGATAATTTTTTTTTGAGATTTTTATGTAACAAAATTTTGGTCTTGCCATTTCCATAATTAAAAAAACTATCGAATTCGCTAAAAAAATTAGGGGTTTCTATTAAAAAAAATGTCGCTGCCGTCATTACCCAAAAATCAAAAAGTGTAGAATTTTAAAACAAGTTGAAAATTCTGTATAATGTGTTCTAGCGAGTTGGTAAAGTTCATTATTCAGACAGATATAAACTTAATTTAATTAGATACTTAAGATGTGGCCCAAAGAAAATTACAATTGATGATTTCTTTTTAAATTAGTAAAAACTAAGTAAGTATCGAGAGATCAAGATAATTTGTCCTTATATCCGAAAACGTATGTCCTGTGCGTATGTCTGTGAAACGTCAAATAAAATGACAAGTGGAAAGGTAAAATCCCATGATCAAAAAGATAACTAAATTTATGATTTACCTTCAAAAAAGAACGGTGTTATTATTATACGTGGGTGACTAATTCCAGCCCATTTTGCCGTTTTCGACTTGTCATTTTATTTGACGTTTCACGTGCAGTTAGTTCAAAAACAGACATACGTACAGTTGCGGAATTAAAAATTCGGACAGTACCTATTAAAAAGTTCACTGTAAACTACATTTTACTGTCATTATGACTGACATTTGACAATTAAACTTATTTTTATTTGTTGTTAAATTTGTTAATTAAACAATTTGTCTGTCTTAGGAAAGTTATTAATTGAACTAAGTGTAATTAAATCATCGCTTTGATCTGCTGACTACCCGTTATTATGCCACAAGTCACTATTTTTMAAAGTAAATAAGTCAYAATGACATAAATATGACAAGAGTAAAAAATGAGGRTATTAATATAAAATTGTTTTAGAGTTTACATTATAAAAATGACAGTACTGCCCGAAATTTTAATTCCGCAACTGTACGTTTTCGGATCCAAAAATGACTCGATTACAAATTATTTTGATCTCTCGGTATTTGTATTAATAAATGTTATTTAAAAAGAATTCTAATGATTTTATTTAAAAAAACTTTAGGTCATAAGGTTTTGGTGGCAAGTTTGGGGGGGGCTCCCCTGGATCCGCCCTTGAATTTACACCGAATAATTTTTTCAAGTCAATTTTCAGGAATCCATCCCGATGTTTATGACCCAAGCACCGGCTGGTACCTCAATGAAGACAATTCAACACTACTCCCAGGAAATCAAAACTGGTCAATTCCAATTATTTGATTATGGGACACTAAACCAGGGGAAATATGGTAGTGAAAACCCCCCAATTCTAGATCCTGCTCAAGTCCAAATTCCCGTTTATTTATTGTACGGGAACAAGGACGCAATCGGGGACGAAATGGTTCAAGTTTGTTTAAAATTTTTTCCGCATTATGTAATCATAACTTTCAGGATGTTTTCGAATTGTTTAGAAGACTCATGACGAAAAAAATTATAAAGAAAATCCCCGAAAGTGATGAAACAAATTTCAAACATTTAGACTTTTTGTACGGTCGTGATATAAACTACTTGTATAAACCTTTGTTTGAAATAATCAACGCTGTTTAACTAATTCGAGAGTTACTCAACTGGATATAATCAGATGTTCAATGGTTCTTATCGGCAGATACGACTGTTCGTAAAAGCCTCATCGTGTGTTTTGTCCTGGAAATTATACGTTTTATGATTTGGCTCTATTTTCGATAAAAAATTGTGGCACAAAAAATTTGTTTCATTCTATTTTTGTGTACCTTTGTCGCGTTCCTTGCACAGTTAGATTACTTCGGTTATCCCTGAAAAGAAGTTATTTTTCAGCATCTCTGAAGCTTTCGCAAAATAAAACTTGGCCTTTAAAGTACAACGTACAAAGTTACAGTGTTCAAAAACACGTGTAACAAGTTATTAATAAAAATAATTGGTTTTCACCTAGTAATAAATAAAAGTCTAAAGGCTGTTTGCATCATTAGCCAAGCAGTTGTGTTTTATTTAAACTAACAAAATATTCAATCCACATAGCCGGCTGAGGAAATGTTAATTCTAAGGTCGTTTTGAGACAATGTGATTCTAAATCACATTTGAGTCAACATGAATCGTAAATCACTTGTGTTTTTGTGTATTATTCAACTGTGTTTGTCGAAAAATAATGTTTGCAAAAATTTCGTCGACTATTCGAATCTTGCATTCAGTAAAAATTGTTGGCACAATCCCGATGTTTTTGCGACACCGGTAAGTGTTTCCAATTGAAATATTTTAACAAATTTTGCTAATTTAGGATAAAATTGCACAAAATCACGGCTTCGAGTTTCAAAATCACACATTAGAGACCGAAGATGGTTACTACTTGACCATTTTCCGGGTCCAGGATAAGTTTGGGGGAAAAAAAGCACCGATTTTGTTGCACCACGGTTTAGGGAGTAATGCYATGAGTTTTATGGGATTTGGAAACCAATCATTGGCCTTTTATTTGGCTCGAAATGGTTTCGATGTGTGGCTAGCCAATCATAGAGGCAATAATTTCTCAAAAGGACACTCCCGAATGAWAATGTCAAATCCCAAATTTTGGGATTTCAGTTTTCATGAAATTGCMGTTTACGATCTTCCAGCAGTGCTTGAATTTATTGCTGAAAAAACCGGAAATTTCTCGAAAATTATTTACGTGGGCCACTCAATGGGAACAACAATCGCGTTTATTTACTCTAGTCTGAAACAACAACATGCTGAAAATTTCCTGAAAGGTGTTGTGGCCTTAGCGCCGGTTACCACATTTAAATACGGAAATGCGATTTTGAAATTGTTTAAACAACAATTGAAACAATTATTAGTAAGTGGAGTTAGTCGAAAAATCAAATTGTTTAGTAATTTTTTCAGGAAAATTTGCTCCAAAATAACATAACTGTAGTGTTTCCAGCACCTGAAAAATTCACCAAATTATACGCAATTCCAATTTGTCTCCAATACACAATAGTTTGTTTGACACTCTTTAACTTGTTTGGGGGTACCGACGAAGGAGAATTACCTCCTGTTGGTTCAGTTTTTTTTTTCAAAACTTTCAATAAATTACCAATTTCAGGAAAATCTAATGGTCGGATTAAGTCACCACCCGGGCCGAACATCAGTAAAATGCTTAGCTCATTATCTCCAATTCACCTTCAGCCAAAATTTTCAGCAATACGACCACGGGGCTGAAAAAAATTTGCAAGTTTATAAATCCCAATCACCTCCTATTTACTCWCTTGCAAATATTTCAGTCCCCTTTCATTTATTRTACGGATTAAATGATCCTTTCGCTGGACTTGAGGTAAACCCTTGCGTGACGCATTTAAGTAACTGAAAAGTTTGTTTCAGGATGTTGAATCAATTTACAATCAACTGAAAATGACAGAAAAGTCGATAAATGTAATACCCGAAAATGGCGAGATTAAGTACAATCATATCAATTTTTTGGCCTCGAAACACATCGAGAGGTATTTTTATAAACCTCTGATGAAGGTTTTGTTCAAATTAAGAGACTAGTGTTTATGTAAAATTGTTTATTAAATAAATAAATAATAAATAATGTGCGATTTTTTATCACTGATAATATTTTAGTATCATTTGATACAAATCAAAAGCGTGTAAACCATTAAGAAAATTGTTGTGTCCAAAATTAAACACCTCCATTATTTTCTTTTCAGTTTTCAGTTTCTTGTACAAATGATAAACGTCCTGAAAAAAATTCTCCCAAATCTGAAAATAATTTTATTCATTTTACCTTTTCCGTCGCCAGTAAATCTCTCCTTCCATAAAATAAATAAACTGGGATTTTAATTTTATAAATTGGATATTCGGGTGGCACAGTCGAGTTATAAATTTTACGATTATAAGGCCCGTAATCAAAATATTGAAATCGGCCCCTTGTGTCTATTATTTGCGCGTAATGTAGCACAGTTTTCAGCGCAATACCCGACAATTGAGTCGCCGCAGTAACAGGAAGAGTACTCTAAAAAAACACTTACAAACCACAAGTGCAGAAATGCACACTTACCGCCCTATTTTCCGCCTGATTCGTCCCTGCAATGTCACCAAAATTCGAACAAATCAAAATAAACGGATAACGGGCACACATTTTCAGGACCAAATCCAGTTTGAATTGCACATTGGGACCCACACCGTACAACCCAAGTGAGGCGAAAAAATCCTGTGCAAAAAAGTTACTTTTCCAGACTGATTACTAAGGCTCGGATTAAGAGGTATATCAACAAAAGTGTAAGTTTTCTATGCATATCTAATGATTTTTGATTAAAATAAGCTAAAAAAATGCATATTTTGGCAACTGGTGCATATTTTAGGAAATATTGCATATTTGTGCATATTTTCTTCAAATCACTAATTTACGATTAAAGATTTCACTTCAAGTTAAAAATTGGACAGATTAAGAAAAATAATACGATTACAAAATATTTTWAAGAGAAAACAACCGGTAATTCGTAAGCCAAACTCAAAAAATTAGTTCCCTGCTGAGAGTTTTCTTTTTAAATTCGTTTTATACTGGGTGAATATAAAGTATTGAACCAAGTGTTTTTTTTTTAAATGACTTGTTTCCAAAAAATAATAATTAATATAAATTAAAGTAATATAAAAAAAATATTTTTTAAGAACAAAATTTTGTTTTGT